CGGATTATTGAGGTAGAAATGGGGAGATGCATGGTCTTAGACGTCTCCATGGGGGGGCAGGACCTGCGCCTGATTAACATCTATGGGCCCCAGACAAAATGGGACAGGAAATGCCTCTTCATGAAGATCAAGCCTTTCCTTTTTTTTTACAGCCCAGCAAGTTGTCTTCGGTGGTGACTTTAACACCGTCACTAGGACTAAGGACAGGAGAGGGACCGGAGGCTGGACTCAGGCTGGACTGTGACGGCTAGAGAGGCAGGTCTGGTTGATGTGCACATTCATTGCTGCCCAGACGACACGGGATTCACTTTTCAGCGAGGTTCTAGTCAGAGTAGAATAGATAGGTTTTTTTTTAAGGGGAACTCCGCCTTCTCGGCACCAGTGTGTCAGGCGGTGGAGTTTTCCGATCACTGTATTCTGTCTGTGACTCTGAGTGGCCCCGATACACCACCTAAGGGGAGGGGTACCTGGAAGCTGAATTCGGCACTCCTGGACGATGAGAAGGTGAGTCAATCCTTTGAGGATTTTTTTCAGGCACAGGTATCAATCATGGACGTTTGCAGCAGTAAGTCCGAGTGGTGGGAGCTTACAAAACGAAGGATCGTTGGGTTTTTCAAGGCCATAGGAAGGAATAAACAGCTTGATAAGTATGTCACCTACCAGCGTCTGCGGAGGAAGCTCGATCGGCTTGTCTCTCAATAATGGAGATCCAGAAGCGATCTCTGAGGTTAAACTCTTCCTCAGGCAGTGTCAATATGACAGGCATGCCTCTTTGGTTCTGGAGAGGGATTATGGGAAATATCACTCGCCCCGACCCTTACCAGAACTGCAAACAAGGTAGAGCAGTTAAGTCAGTTGTAGGCCTGGTTGACAGTACGGGTTCCCTGACAAAGTCCAAGTCAGGGATCCTGGAAACCTCCAGGTCATATTATGCTGACCTCCTGGGTAGGAGGGACCTCGATCGGGCGAGCATGTTGGGTTTTCTGGACTCTACTCCAGGACTGGGAAATGGCAGTTCTCCTGTGAGTCCTGGGTAGGAGGGACCTCGATCGGGCGAGCATGTCGGGTTTTCTCGGGTTTTCTGGACTCTACTCCAGGACTGGGAAATGGCAGTTCTCCTGTGAGTCCTGGGTAGGAGGGACCTCGATCGGGCGAGCATGTCGGGTTTTCTGGACTCTACTCCAGGACTGGGAAATGACAGTTCTCCTGTGAGTCCTGGGTAGGAGGGACCTCGATCGGGCGAGCATGTCGGGTTTTCTGGACTCTACTCCAGGACTGGGAAATGACAGTTCTCCTGTGAGTCCTGGGTAGGAGGGACCTCGATCGGGCGAGCATGTCGGGTTTTCTGGACTCTACTCCAGGACTGGGAAATGGCAGTTCTCCTGTGAGTCCTGGGTAGGAGGGACCTCGATCGGGCGAGCATGTCGGGTTTTCTGGACTCTACTTCAGGACTGGGAAATGGCAGTTCTCCTGTGAGTCCTGGGTAGGAGGGACCTCGATCGGGCGAGCATGTCGGGTTTTTTTGGACTCTACTCAGGACTGGGAAATGGCAGTTCTCCTGTGAGTCCTGGGTAGGAGGGACCTCGATCGGGCGAGCATGTCGGGTTTTCTGGACTCTACTCCAGGACTGGGAAATGGCAGTTCTCCTGTGAGTCCTGGGTAGGAGGGACCTCGATCGGGCGAGCAGCATGTCGGGTTTTCTGGACTCTACTCCAGGACTGGGAAATGGCAGTTCTCCTGTGAGTCCTGGGTAGGAGGGACCTCGATCGGGCGAGCATGTCGGGTTTTCTGGACTCTACTCCAGGACTGGGAAATGGCAGTTCTCCTGTGAGGTGACAGAGGACATCACGGCAGATGAGGTGGTGAAAGCTATTGATCAGCTTGCCATGAAGAAGTCGCCTGGGCCAGACGGATTGACAGCCGAGTTTTATAAGCACTTTAAGGTGACTCTGGCCCCATATTTGGTGGAGGTGTTTAATGGCTGTCTGAGAGAGGGTCCGCCCCCCTCCATGTCTGAGAGAGGGTCCGCCCTCCCCCTCCGTGTCTGAGAGAGGGTCCGCCCTCCCCCCCTCCGTGTCTGAGAGAGGGTCCGCCCTCCCCCTCCGTGTCTGAGAGAGGGTCCGCCCTCCCCCTCCGTGTCTGAGAGAGGGTCCGCCCTCCATGTCTGAGAGAGGGTCCGCCCTCCATGTCTGAGAGAGGGTCCGCCCTCCCCCTCCGTGTCTGAGAGAGGGTCCGTCCTCCCCCTCCGTGTCAGAGAGGGTCCGCCCTCCCCCCTCCGTGTCTGAGAGAGGGTCCGCCCTCCCCCTCCGTGTCTGAGAGAGGGTCCGCCCTCCCCCTCCGTGTCTGAGAGGGGGTCCGCCCTCCATGTCTGAGAGAGGGTCCGCCCTCCATGTCTGAGAGAGGGTCCGCCCTCCCCCTCCGTGTCTGAGAGAGGGTCTGTCCTCCCCCTCCGTGTCAGAGAGGGGTCCGTCCTCCCCCTCCGTGTCTGAGAGAGGGTCCGCCCTCCCCCTCCGTGTCTGAGAGAGGGTCCGCCCTCCCCCTCCTCCGTGTCTGAGAGAGGGTCCGCCCTCCCCCTCCGTGTCTGAGAGAGGGGTCCGCCCTCCCCCTCCATGTCTGAGAGAGGGTCCGCCCTCCCCCTCCGTGTCTGAGAGAGGGTCCGTCCTCCCCCTCCATGTCAGAGAGGGTCCGTCCTCCCCCTCCGTGTCTGAGAGAGGGTTCGCCCTCCCCCTCCGTGTCTGAGAGAGGGTTCGCCCTCTCCCCTCCGTGTCTGAGAGAGGGTCCGCCCTCCCCCTCCGTGTCTGAGAGAGGGTCCGCCCTCCCCCTCCGTGTCTGAGAGAGGGTCCGCCCTCCCCCTCCGTGTCAGAGAGAGGGTCCGCCCTCCCCCTCCGTGTCTGAGAGAGGGTTCGCCCTCCCCCTCCGTGTCTGAGAGAGGGTTCGCCCTCCCCCTCCGTGTCTGAGAGAGGGTTCGCCCTCTCCCCGTGTCCGAGAGAGGGGTCCGCCCTCCCCCCCTCCGTGTCCGAGAGAGGGTCCGCCCTCCCCCTCCGTGTCCGAGAGAGGGTCCGCCCTCCCCCTCCGTGTCCGAGAGAGGGTCCGCCCTCCCCCTCCGTGTCCGAGAGAGGGTCCGCCCCCTCCCCCTCCGTGTCCGAGAGAGGGTCCGCCCTCCCCCTCCGTGTCCGAGAGAGAGGTCCGCCCTCCCCCTCCGTGTCCGAGAGAGGGTCCGCCCTCCCCCCTCCGTGTCCGAGAGAGGGTCCGCCCTCCCCCTCCGTGTCCGAGAGAGGGTCCGCCCTCCCCCTCCGTGTCCGAGAGAGGGTCCGCCCTCCCCCTCCGTGTCCGAGAGAGGGTCCGCCCTCCCCCTCCGTGTCCGAGAGAGGGTCCGCCCTCCCCCTCCGTGTCCGAGAGAGGGTCCGCCCTCCCCCTCCGTGTCAGAGAGGGTCCGCCCTCCCCCTCCGTGTCCGAGAGAGGGTCGCCCTCCCCCTCCGTGTCCGAGAGAGGGTCCGCCCCCCCTCCGTGTCCGAGAGAGGGTCCGCCCTCCCCCTCCGTGTCCGAGAGAGGGTCCGCCCTCCCCCTCCGTGTCCGAGAGAGGGTCCGCCCTCCCCCTCCGTGTCTGAGAGAGGGTCCGCCCTCCCCCTCCGTGTCTGAGAGAGGGTCCCCTCCCCCCCCCGTCCGTGTCTGAGAGAGGGTTCCGCCCTCCCCCTCCGTGTCTGAGAGAGGGTCCGCCCCCCCTCCCCCCCCTCCGTGTCTGAGAGAGGGTCCGCCCCCCCTCCGTGTCTGAGAGAGGGTTCCCCTCCCCCCTCCGTGTCTGAGAGAGGGTCCGCCCTCCCCCTCCGTGTCTGAGAGAGGGTCCGCCCCCCCCCTCCGTGTCTGAGAGAGGGTCCGCCCTCCCCCTCCGTGTCTGAGAGAGGGTCCGCCCTCCCCCTCCGTGTCTGAGAGAGGGTCCGCCCTCCCCCTCCGTGTCTGAGAGAGGGTCCGCCCTCCCCCTCCGTGTCTGAGAGAGGGTCCGCCCTCCCCCTCCGTGTCTGAGAGAGGGTCCGTCCTCCCCCTCCATGTCTGAGAGAGGGTCCGCCCTCCTCCCCCTCCGTGTCTGAGAGAGGGTCCGCCCTCCCCCTCCGTGTCTGAGAGAGGGTCCGCCCTCCCCCTCCGTGTCTGAGAGAGGGTCCGCCCTCCCCCTCCGTGTCTGAGAGAGGGTCCGCCCCCCCTCCCGTGTCTGAGAGAGGGTCCGCCCTCCCCCCTCCGTGTCTGAGAGAGGGTCCGCCCTCCCCCTCCGTGTCTGAGAGAGGGTTCGTCCTCCCCCTCCGTGTCCCCCCTCCCCCTCCGTGTCTGAGAGAGGGTCCGCCCTCCCCTCCCCCTCCGTGTCCCTCCCCCCCTCCGTGTCTGAGAGAGGGTCCGCCCTCCCCCTCCGTGTCCGAGAGAGGGTCCGCCCTCCCCCTCCGTGTCCGAGAGAGGGTCCGCCCTCCCCCTCCGTGTCCGAGAGAGGGTCCGCCTCCCCCTCCGTGTCCGAGAGAGGGTCCGCCCTCCCCCTCCGTGTCCGAGAGAGGGTCCGTCCTCCCCCTCCGTGTCCGAGAGAGGGTTCGCCCTCCCCCCTCCGTGTCAGAGAGGGTTCGCCCTCCCCCTCCGTGTCCGAGAGAGGGTTCGCCCTCCCCCTCCGTGTCCGAGAGAGGGTTCGCCCTCCCCCTCCGTGTCCGAGAGAGGGTTCGCCCTCCCCCTCCGTGTCCGAGAGAGGGTCCGCCCTCCCCCTCCGTGTCCGAGAGAGGGTCCGCCCTCCCCCTCCGTGTCCGAGAGAGGGTCCGCCCTCCCCCTCCGTGTCCGAGAGAGGGTCCGCCCTCCCCCTCCGTGTCCGAGAGAGGGTCCGCCCTCCCCCTCCGTGTCCGAGAGAGGGTCCGTCCTCCCCCCTCCATGTCAGAGAGGGTTCGCCCTCCCCCTCCGTGTCCGAGAGAGGGTCCGCCCTCCCCCTCCGTGTCCGAGAGAGGGTCCGTCCTCCCCCTCCGTGTCAGAGAGGGTCCGCCCTCCCCCTCCGTGTCTGAGAGAGGGTTCGCCCTCCCCCTCCGTGTCTGAGAGAGGGTCCGCCCTCCCCCTCCGTGTCTGAGAGAGGGTCCGCCCTCCCCCTCCGTGTCTGAGAGAGGGTCCGCCCTCCCCCTCCGTGTCAGAGAGGGTCCGCCCTCCCCCTCCGTGTCTGAGAGAGGGTCCGTCCTCCCCCTCCGTGTCTGAGAGAGGGTTCGCCCTCCCCCTCCGTGTCTGAGAGAGGGTTCGCCCTCCCCCTCCGTGTCTGAGAGAGGGTCCGCCCTCCCCCTCCGTGTCTGAGAGAGGGTCTGCCCTCCCCCCCTCCCCCTCCGTGTCCGAGAGAGGGTCCGCCCTCCCCCTCCATGTCTGAGAGAGGGTCCGCCCTCCCCCTCCGTGTCCGAGAGAGGGTCCGCCCTCCCCCCTCCGTGTCCGAGAGAGGGTCCACCCTCCCCCTCCGTGTCTGAGAGAGGGTCCCTCCTCCCCCTCCCCCTCCATGTGACAATCTGCAGTGATTCTTCTGTCAGAGGGTCAGGATTCCTCCAGAATTGGGGGCCCATTAGCCTTCTCAATGTTGATAGGAGATATTGGCAAAGATCATTTTCTGGCGTTTATCGTCTGTTGCGGGCGAATTACTGTCTCACTATCAGCACTGTACGGTTCAGGGAAGAGGCACTTTTTCAGCGGTGTTAGCTGTCCGGGAGGCCCTGGAGGGTGCAGGGCTGCAGGCTGGGGAAAGTTCCTGCTGGCATTGGATGAGGACAAAGCTTTTGATTGGGTCAATCGTGTTTAGGTGGGGGATGGGTTGTGTTTAGGTGGGGGATGGGTTGCGTTCAGGTGGGGGATGGACTGCGTTTAGATGAGGGATGGGCTGCGTTTAGGTGGGGGATGGGTTGCGTTTAGGTGGGGGATGGGTTGTGTTTAGCTGGGGGATGGGTTGCGTTCAGGTGGGGGATGGGTTGCATTCAGGTGGGGGATGGGCTGCGTTCAGGTGGGGGATGGGCTGCGTTTAGGTGGGGGATGGACTGCGTTTAGGTGAGGGATGGGCTGCGTTTAGGTGGGGGATGGGCTGCATTCAGGTGGGGGATGGGCTGCGTTTAGGTGGGGGATGGGTTGTGCTTAGGTGGGGGGTGTGGGCTGTGTTTAGGTGGGGGATGGGCTGCATTTAGGTGGGGGATGGGTTGTGTTCAGGTGGGGGATGGGCTCCGTTTCGGTGGGGGATGGGTTGCATTTGGGTGGAGGGTGGGCTGCATTTAGGTAAAGGTCGGGTTGTGTTTAGGTGGGGGATGGGCTGTGTTTAGGTTGGGGGCGGGGGGGTTGTGTGTGGGTTGTGCCATGTGTGTGGTTGGTGGCTTCCTCGGATGTGCTGTATCTGTGGTTGGTGGCCTCCTCGGATGTGCCGTGTGTGTGGTTGGTGGCCTCCTCGGATGTGCCGTGTGTGTGGGTTGGTGGCCTCCTCGGATTTGCCGTGTGTGTGGTTGGTGGCCTCCTCGGATGTGCCGTGTGTGCGATGCGATGGTGGCCTCCTCAGATGTGCTGTGTGTGTGGTTGGTGGCCTCCTCGAAAGTGCCGTGTGCGTGGTTGGTGGGCCTCCTCAGATGTGCCGTGTGTGTGGTTGGTGGCCTCCTCGTGACATGCCGTGTGTGTGTGGTTGGTGGCCTCCTCAGATGTGCCATGTGTGTGGTTGGTGGCCTCCTCGAATGTGCCATGTGCGTGGTTGGTGGCCTCCTCGAATGTGCCATGTGCGTGGTTGGTGGCCTCCTCGTGACGTGCCTTGTGCGTGGTTGGTGGCCTCCTCGGATGTGCCGTGTGTGTGTGTGTTGGTGGCCTCCTCGTGACGTGCCGTGTGTGTGGTTGGTGGCCTCCTCGTGACGTGCCATGTGTGTAGTTGGTGGCCTCCTCGGATGTGCCGTGCATGCTGTTGGTGGCCTCCTCGGATGGGCCGTGCATGTGGTTGGTGGCCTCCTCGGATGTGCCGTGTGTGTGGTTCATGGCCTCCTCGGATGTGCCGTGTGTGTGTGGTTGGTGGCCTCCTCGTGACGTGACGTGTGTGTGGTTGGTGGCCTCCTCGTGACGTGCCGTGTGTGTAGTTGGTGGCCTCCTCGGATGTGCCGTGCATGTGGTTGGTGGCCTCCTCGGATGTGCCGTGTGTGTGGTTCATGGCCTCCTCGGATGTGCCGTGCGTGTGGTTGGTGGCCTCCTCGGATGTGCCGTGTGTGTGGTTCATGGCCTCCTCGGATGTGCCGTGTGTGTGGTTGGTGGCTTCCTCGGATGTGCCGTGTGTGTGGTTGGTGGCTTCCTCGGTTGTGCTGTGTGTGGTTGGTGGCCTCCTCGGACGTGCTGTGCGTGTGGTTCGTGGCCTCCTCGGATGTGCTGTGTGTGTGTGGTTGGTGGGCCTCCTCGGATGTGCCGTGCATGTGGTTGGTGGCCTCCTCGGATGTGCATGTGTGTGGTTGGTGGCCTCCTCAGATGTGCTGTGTGTGTGGTTGGTGGCCTCCTCGTGACGTGCCGTGTGTGTGTGGTTGGTGGCCTCCTAGTCTCTAATTCTTCCACTTTTCTCCTTCAGGGTGAAATTCAGAACCTTTCCTCCCTGACTCCGGATGGAGAAGCCAGTCTTCTGTGGCCAGTTGGCGTCAACCCACCATTCACCCCGAAGTCCCACTTTGACTTGCTGACTTGGGAATACTTCACAGAGACGCACACGTTCTCCTGCCACGATGGGGCCCCCAAGTGTCCCCTGCAAGGAGTTTGGTTGTTGGATGTCCAGCAGGTGCTGGAAGAGGCTCTCGAGCAGCTCAATCATCGCTATCATCCTTGGCTTCACTTCAGAAAGCGCCATCTGCTGAACGGGTACAGACGCTTTGATCCCACCCGTGGGATGGAGTACACCCTGGACCTGGTGCTTGAAGCCACCACGAAGAAGGGTCACGCTGGAGTCATCATCAAGCGCCTTAGCCTGCTGCGCCCCCTGGGCCTTGTGGAAATTCTTCCCATGCCATATGTGACTGAGGCCACGCCGGTGCAGGTGGTGGTACCTTTGATGCCGGCCGATGCTGGCCACATTTCAGCTTTTCTTGATGCCTTTGCCACAAACCTTCTGGACCCACAGGAGAACGTGGCCCTGACTGTGCTGCTGGTGTATGACATGACCTCCTCGGGGCAGGTGCAGGACGTGTTTGAGGGGGTGCGGAGCATGGTGTCAGAACTGGAGAGCCGGTACACCTTCCTACGTCTGGAAGTGACCAGCGTCCACGCCGAGATCCCCTCCCAGATCCGTCTGATGGAAATCATCTCCAAGAAGCATCCCATGGAGACACTTTTCCTTCTGCTAAGTGTTTGGAGTGAAGTGACCACGGAGGCGTTGAACCGCTGCCGGATGAACGCCATCAGTGCGTGGCAGGTCTTCTCTCCAGTCCACTATCAGGAATACAACCCCGACATGTCCCGACGCAGCTTCTCCACTCCGCCCTCTACGGACTTCCTCCACGATGGCCACTTTGACCGATTCTCCTCCTCGGAATTCTGCTTCTATAACTCTGACTTCATGGCAGCTCGCAACAGAATGGCCACGGAGGTGGGAGCTCCGGAGGATGAGGAGGAGAACGGTGCCGGCATGGAGCTTCTGGAACTGTTCCTCAGACACTCCCAGCTGCACATCTTCAGGGCTCTGGAGCCAGCATTGGTGCAAAGGTTCTCCCTGAAAAAGTGCAGCACCCTCCAATCAGGAGAGGGTTACCACCGCTGTGTCCTCAGCAACCTGGAGTCCCTCGGCTCTCGGATTCAGCTGGCCACGGCTCTCTTTAACCAGGACCAGACCAACAGCACCTAAACTGAGATCAGTCCCACGTGACCACACCAACAGCACCTAAACTGAGATCAGTCCCACGTGACCACACCAACAGCACCTAAACTGAGACCAGTCCCACGTGACCACACCAACAGCACCTAAACTGAGACCAGTCCCACGTGACCACACCAACAGCACCTAAACTGAGACCAGTCCCACGTGACCACACCAACAGCACCTAAACGGAGACCAGTCCCAGGTGACCACACCAACAGCACCTAAACTGAGACCAGTCCCACGTGACCACACCATCAGCACCTAAACTGAGACAGCCCCACGTGACCACAACAACAGCACCTAAACTGAGACAGCCCCACGTGACCACAACAACAGCACCTAAACTGAGACCAGTCCCACGTGACCACACCAACAGCACCTAAACTGAGACAGCCCCACGTGACCACACCAACAGCACCTAAACTGAGACAGCCCCACGTGACCACACCAACAGCACCTAAACTGAGACAGCCCCACGTGACCACACCAACAGCACCTAAACTGAGACCAGTCCCACGTGACCACACAAACAGCACCTAAACTGAGACCAGTCCCACGTGACCACACCAACATCACCTAAACTGAGACCAGTCCTACATGACCACAACAGCACCTAAACTGAGACCAGCCCCACGTGACAACAACAGCACCTAAACTGAGACCAGTCCCACGTGACTAGACTAACAGCACCTAAACTGGACCAGTCCCACGTGACTAGACCAACAGCACCTAAACTGGGACCAGTCCCACGTGACTAGACCAACAGCACCTAAACTGGGACCAGTCCCACGTGACTAGACCAACAGCACCTAAACTGAGACCAGTCCCACATGACCACACCAACAGCACCTAAACTGGGACCAGTCCCACGTGACCACACCAACAGCACCTAAACTGGGACCAGCCCCACGTAACCACACCCAACAGCACCTAAACTGAGACAGCCCCATGTGACCACACCGACAGCACCTAAACTGAGACCAGTCCCACGTGACCACACCAACAGCACCTAAACTGAGACCAGTCCCACGTGACCACAACAAACAGCACCTAAACTGAGACCAGTCCCACGTGACCACACAAACAGCACCTAAACTGAGACCAGTCCCACGTGACCACACCAACATCACCTAAACTGAGACCAGTCCCACGTGACCACAACAGCACCTAAACTGAGACCAGCCCCACGTGACAACAACATCACCTAAACTGAGACCAGTCCCACGTGACTAGACCAACAGCACCTAAACTGAGACCAGTCCCACGTGACCACAACAACAGCACCTAAACTGAGACCAGCCCCACGTGACAACAACAGCACCTAAACTGAGACCAGTCCCACGTGACTAGACCAACAGCACCTAAACTGAGACCAGTCCCACGTGACTAGACCAACAGCACCTAAACTGAGACCAGTCCCACGTGACTAGACCAACAGCACCTAAACTGGGACCAGTCCCACGTGACTAGACCAACAGCACCTAAACTGGGACCAGTCCCACGTGACTAGACCAACAGCACCTAAACTGGGACCAGTCCCACATAACCACACCAACAGCACCTAAACTGGGACCAGTCCCACGTGACCACACCATCAGCACCTAAACTGGGACCAGTCCCAAATGACTAGACCAACAGCACCTAAACTGAGACCAGTCCCACATGACCACACCAACAGCACCTAAACTGAGACCAGTCCCACGTGACCACACCAACAGCACCTAAACTGGGACCAGTCCCACGTGACTAGACCAACAGCACCTAAACTGGGACCAGTCCCACATAACCACACCAACAGCACCTAAACTGGGACCAGTCCCACGTGACCACACCAACAGCACCTAAACTGGGACCAGTCCCAAATGACTAGACCAACAGCACCTAAACTGAGACCAGTCCCACATGACCACACCAACAGCACCTAAACTGAGACCAGTCCCACGTGACCACACCAACAGCACCTAAACTGGGACCAGTCCCACGTGACCACACCAACAGGACCTAAACCTGGACTACCATGCTGGAGGTGCCTGTACTGATATGTGCTGCTGTGATGTCACATCAAGATGCAAATAAATGTCTTTATATTTTACTATAATGTGCCGAGTTCCGTTGTGTCTGTACCTGAAGGTCCCTTGTCCTCCCAATCATGGACCGTCGGTAGACGTGGCCGGGGAGTTTGGTGTTCCGTGGTGTCTGTACCTGAAGGTCCCTTGTCCTCCCAATCATGGACCGTCGGTAGACGTCTGGCCGGGGAGTTTGGTGTTCCGTGGTGTCTGTACCTGAAGGTCCCTTGTCCTCCCAATCATGGACCGTCGGTAGACGTCTGGCCGAGGAGTTTGGTGTTCCGTGTTCCCTGTACCTGAAGGTCCCTTGTCCTCCCAATCATGGACCGTCGGTAGGCGTCTGGCCGGGGTGTTCTGTGTTCTGATATTGTATCTGATCTTCTTCCCGGAACTCCTGTGAGATCCTTCAGCAGGTTGGATGGGTTAGACGTCCCGTGTCTGTGGGCTTCCACAGGCGAATGCAGGAACTTTCCAACTATCCAACTTCAGCTGCTTTCTCCTCCCCCCCATAGACTTGCATGAAGGGAACACAAGCCCATTGAATCTTGCCCTAGATGTCACACATAGCTGGGACTAAGGGGGGGACTGGGCCAGGACATAAGGGGGGTGCTGGGCCAGGACATAAGAGGGGGCTGGGCCAGGACATAAGGGGGGGACTGGGCCAGGACATAAGGAGGGGACTGGGCCAGGACATAAGAGGGGGCTGGGCCAGGACATAAGGGGGGGGCTGGGCCAGGACATAAGGGGGGGGCTGGGCCAGGACATAAGGGGGGGGGCTGGGCCAGGACATAAGGGGGGGTCTGGGCCAGGACATAAGGGGGGGTCTGGGCCAGGACATAAGGGGGGGCTGGGCCAGGACATAAGGGGGGGGGGGGGGCGGCTGGGCCAGGACATAAGGGGGGACTGGGCCAGGACATAAGGGGGGGGGCTGGGCCAGGACATAAGGGGGGGGGACTGGGTCAGGACTGGGGGGGCTGGGCCAGGACATAAGGGGGGGACTGGGCCAGGACATAAGGGGGGGACTGGGCCAGGACATAAGGGGGGGGGACCAGGGCCACTGGGCCAGGACATAAGGGGGGGCTGGGCCAGGACATAAGGGGGGGGGGACTGGGCCAGGACATAAGGGGGGGGGACTGGGTCAGGACATGGGGGGGGCTGGGCCAGGACATAAGGGGGGGGGCTGGGCCAGGACATAAGGGGGGGGGCTGGGCCAGGACAATGGCAGCACAGAGGAGAAGGAACAAGTCCATGATCTTCAGAGTTCCCTGTTGATTCCACGGCTTCCTTCACACGGCACCAGAGACATTACACGAGTTTTCTGGAGGAATGTTCCTGCGTGGTGATTGGTCCGTCACTTGCGTACATAACTTGTCCTTCTGATGATTTCTCTCTCCCTTTGTGTAGATTTATGTGTATACATGCATCAGCACCGAAATCACATGTTCTTGGACGCAGATTTTTGGATTCTGTGTTCTGGATCTGGAAGCGGCTCATGTTTGCGCTCTGGTATGAATGGCTCCATTATAATCAGTGTAGCGGAGTTCAGATCCGGAATTCCAACCCTAATCCTGAGCCCAGTAAGAAATCGTCCAAAGATCGGCCATGGAAATATGGAACCAGAACACAACCCGAGTGATGTGAGATCATTGCTGACCGCTTCAGTGAAATCTTCTGGATTGTCTCCCCCCGTCTCACCTGAGGAATCAGAAGCGTCTTCTGGATTGTCTCCCCGTCTCACCTGAGGAATCGGAAGCGTCTTCTGGATTGTCTTCCCATCTCACCTGAGGAATCGGAAGCGTCTTCTGGATTGTCTTCCCATCTCACCTGAGGAATCGGAAGCGTTTTCTGGATTGTCTTCCCATCTCACCTGAGGAATCGGAAGCGTCTTCTGGATTGTCTTCTGGTATCACCTGTGGAATCGGCGTCTAGATTGTCTTCCCATATCACCCATGGAATTGGAGACGTCTTTCTGGATTGTCTTCCCGGATCACCTTTGGAATCGGCTTCTGGATTGTCTCCCCGGATCACCTGTGGAATCGACTTCTGGTTTGTCTCCTCGTTTCACCTGGGGAATCGGAAGCGTCTTCTGGATTTTCTCACCTGGGGAATCGGAAGCGTCTTCTGGATTGTCTCACCTGGGGAATCGGAAGCGTCTTCTGGATTGTCTCACCTCGGGAATCGGAAGCGTCTTCTGGATTTTCTCACTTGGGGAATTGGAAGCATCTTCTGGATTTTCTCACCTGGGGAATCGGAAGCGTCTTCTGGATTTTCTCACCTGTGGAATTGGAAGTGTCTTCTGGATTGTCTCCTTGGAATCACCCTCCCTGTATGGAATCGGCTTCCAGATTGTCTCCCTGTATCACCTGTGGAATCAGAAGCATCCTCTACATTGTCTTCGCATCTCAGCTGTGGAATTGGAAGCATCTTCTGGATTGTCTTCTATGGTATCACTTCTGGATGTCTTCCCAAACAGCTTCTGGATTGTCTTCTGGTATCACCTGGGGAATCAGCTTCTGGATTGTCATCCTGCATCACCTGTGAGCTGCAGGGTTGAGTCCCCCCATAAAGAACTTCCATTCAGTATTTCAGTGTGAGAGGAATGATGTGGAACAGGGAAGTCATTTTCAGCAGATAGACATTTCTAGAAACATGTGGAGTTCTGACATGATGATGTGTGTGAAATAAAAAGGACGTGTGACCGGCCGTGAAATCCTTTTCTTGGAGAACATTCAGGGACACACAGGGAAGGGACACACGGGGAAGGGGCACACGGGGAGGGACACACGGGGAAGGGGACAACACGGTGACGGGGACACACGGGACGGGACACACGGGGAAGGGGCCACACGGGAAGGGGCACACGGGGAAGGGGCACACACGGGGAAGGGGCACACGGGGAAGGAACACAATGACCAAAGC